AGGGAACGTGAGCTGGGTTTAGACCGTCGTGAGACAGGTTAGTTTTACCCTACTGCTGATGTGTTGTTGCGCTAGTAATCCTGCTCAGTACGAGAGGAACCGCAGGTTCAGACCTTTGGTGTATGTGCTTGGCTGAGGAGCCAATGGGGCGAAGCTACCATCTGTGGGATTATGACTGAACGCCTCTAAGTCAGAATCCCCCCTAAACGTAACGATACCGCAGCGCCGAGGAGCCTCGGTGGGCCTCGGATAGCCGGGCCTCCCGGCCCGGCGCGGAGAGCCGTCCGTCACGGGAGCGGAGCGCGGCCGGAAGGGGGCCGCCTCTCGCCCGCGGCGCAGCGCACGTTCGCGGGGAACCCGGTGCTAAATCATTCGTAGACGACCTGATTCTGGGTCGGGGTTTCGTGCGTAGCAGAGCAGCTCCCTCGCTGCGATCTATTGAAAGTCAGCCCTCGACACAAGCTTTTGTCTGTCTGTTGGCCGCCAGTTGGAAGGCTGGGTTTACCTTGCTGTGCTGTGCTTAGGACTCTGGATTCCCCCTCACTGTGTCTCCTCTTTTCCCTTGGATTCTCACTTGTTTACTGGATTCCTGGTCTCAACCTGGGCTGAGCCTATGACTACATTTATAGTTTACCAGTTAAGTTACTGGTAAAAATTACTCTGTTCTGAAAATCTATTGTACCTGAGCTTTGCCTGTCACTGGACTGTGGAAGGCATCATGTTGGCTGGCAGCCAGTAGTGCCAGAACAGAAAAGAAACTTTCTTCTCATTTTTCTGACATGTGTAATTTGTCCTTTGGCCTTGATGGGTTATCATGTGGGCACATATCTACCCCATCAACTTGTGAATATTGAAAAACACGTTCATCCTATCCCTTAGAGATCATTCTGCCTGCCATACATGGTTTCTGGCTCCAGAAATTTTCCCTCTAAAGTTCAGCTTAAAAGCTGCTTTGCACCCCCTCCTTCAGCCTACTTCTGTTCTTCCCTACACTTCATGTAAATAAAGCCTCCAGAGATAGGAGTGGCCTAGCAACTTGTAGGCTCGGCACCAGAACTGAGTGTATCCAAAGGGAAACAGCTAGAGTTTTCTTTGAACTTCACCAGTAGGACTAAATCTGCAGAGGTGCTATGGAAAAAGCCTGGCCAGAGCCTGTGGCTGTTGGCATTCCCAACAATTGCAGGGGCATTATATTATACACACCATTCTTTTTCCTTCTTTACTAATCTTTAAAAGCATCTTTTAAAAGCAACAATAAATTACATTAACTGCACCTTGTCTTCAGTGAATTCATTCCCTGATCGAATCCTGGAGCCTGTCTCATTACTGCATATCTTAAATGTGGCATACATGCAATTTCAGAGAGAGCTACTTTATGTTCAGACTTCTCTATTAGAACATAAATTTGGCTTCCTTTGCAACCAAATACCCAGATTCCTGGTACTAATAGGCATCATGATCACTGTCTCTGCTTTATCATACTATCCAAAGTTCTCAGAGGACTTGCGATGGTTACACCCTTTACATCAGCCAAGCATGTTACCACTGGGGTCCATCCAAGCCCTTCATAGTTATCCTTTTTTCTGTCCAATTTGCTTACTGAATGTGTATTGCAGATGTGCAGGATATTGAGATCTTAGCCACCAATGCAAAGGCACATCTTTACCTGAACTTAGCTTTGAGAAATTCACAGACTCTGAATCCATTTCCAAGTGTTGTTTCATAAAACCTCCACAAGAAGCCTGGGTAGCATCCAGAGGTTCATTTGCAAAACTTGAGGCATAATCACAGTCATAACCAGTTCCTCTATCATTCTTAAACCTCTTCACAAGCTCCCTGTAGTGAGCTGATAGTAGATACTGGTACTCATAACTTCATATGGTGAGTCTTCCCCATGTAATTCAGATTAAATCTCCTAGCCAGAGAAACCTCTTGGCCACAGTCAAGAATCTCCAGCTTCCCTTCTGTCCCTCTTTCTCCTTGAAAGGTGTCTACAGAAGAATGGTCAAAAAAGGGATACAGGGAATCTTCCCTTGCCAGACTCAGCTCTCCTTCTTGCTTCAGAGTGCTTGTAGGGCTTGGGGAAAGGAGATTCCAATCTGCAGAGTGAAGGAAGAACTGATTTTATAACCCACACAGGCAATTCATAATGTGTGGCTTCCACCTATCAGCAGGTATTTTTGATTGGTGAAGTTTTCAGGGGAGAGGCAAATGAATTATACTGGTACAAATCCAATAGACACATAAATACGATCACTTTATAAATCTAATGATGACTAGCAGATGTTCCTAACCCTAACCCTCACCTTGAAGGAAAACCAGTATGCAACACTGCACTTGCCAGGGCAGATCTTTGGAAATAGCAAATGAGGTAACATCCAGGCTTTGCTTTGTCATACCGTTTTAGCCAGCCAAGAGACTTACCTGATGAGAAGTTCTCCCATTTGGGTGGACGCCCCTCTCCCCATTTTTGTACAGAAATCTAGCATGCAGGAGAATGCCATTTCCTCTTAGCAAACTCAGTTTTCATACAATCGCAGTTCTGGAAAAAACAACATCCAGAATCAGAAATAACAGAACAGAGACTAGCAGATCAATGTCAATTTATAACATGAAATAAAGTATTCACAGAAGTAAAATTGGAAGA